TTAACAGCAAGTCTATACTTCTTTTGTTTTTATTCAGTATCTAATGACTATTTTTTTAAAAAGAAGGAAAATTTCCTATAAGAGGGGCTCATGAGGCCTCAGCATTATGCCTGAGTCTCTGAAGTATCTCTCACCCCACCCACATTACACCTAATTCTGGTGTGCACAGACTTGGTCTAAATCTGACAAAAACAGAATGACTCAGGGAACCCCCAGGGGTTCAAGACACACATAACTGAACATTCATCGTGTTTACATGCAGAGGAGTGATTTTACTCCTGTGTTTGCTTAAAACACTGTTTTTCTACATTTCGGGCTTCTCCTTTGATCAGTTTGTTATATTATAACCATTTCCAGTTACTGGGTGATGCAATCAATGTGCAGACTCCACAGCCATCTCTTGGGTAACCAACAGAGACATCTGAATCAAACACTATGAAACTTCATTCCCAGCAAGAAGAGAACATGTAAAAGTTCTCCCCAAAAAGAGATTTGAAGTGACTATTTCTCAAAAGACTATAATCCACCACAAGCCATCAAACTATCTTCTTTTTTAATACAAGTGTTCTAGGGTGTTCAGGAACGTTCTGCTTAAAGGCTAAATTCGAATAGGGTGTTACATCACTACCCTGAGAATCAACACATAATTTGAAGGACAGTTACAATGTGTGTGTATATATAACACATCTAAACTAGTCAGATGGCTAGATAGATTGTCAGATAGACAAATGATACAAACAGCTAACATTTACCTAGGGCTTCCTACAGGTGAACCGCTGTGCTAAGCATTTTGTATGTATCTCCCCATTTAATCCTCATGGTAACTCTATAAGAAGGTACTATTTTTTATTTAAGAGATGGAGTCTCACTATGTCACCCAGGTTGGAATGCAAGCACCTAATCACAGGAGTGATCATCGCACACAGCAGCCTTGAACTCCTGGCCTCAAGCCAGCCTCCCGTCTCAGCCTCCTGAGTAGCTAGGACTACAAGTGCATGGCAATGCACCTGGATGAGGAAGTACTATTATAATCCCTATTTTATAGATGCAGAAACTGAGGTCTAGAGAAGTTAAGTAACTTTGCCAAGTAATACAGATGATAAGCAGTAGAGCTAGGATGTGAACTCAGGTAGTGTAGCTTGGTAGCCAGGAGGTAAACTTCTATAATACTCTGCTTCAGTGGATTTATAAATGATTCAGAATGTCTAGAGAGCTACTTACAGATAAGGCATTGTTGGGCTGGGCGTGGTGGCTCACGCCTGTAATCCCAGCACTTTGGGAGGCCCACACAGGAGGATCACCTGAGGTCAGGAGTTCAAGATCAGCCTGGCCAATATGGTGAAACCCCATCTCTACTAAAAACATAAAAATTAGCCAGGCATCGTGGCAGGCGCCTGTAATCCCAGCTACAGGGGAGTCTGAGGCATAAGAATCGCTTGAACCCGGGAGGCAGAGGTTGCAATGAGCTGAGATTATGCCACTGCACTCTAGCCTAGATGACAGAGTGAGACTCCATCTCAAAAAAAAAAAAAAAAAAATTAAATTATATAAGGCATTATCACAAGATAGGGCAATGCCTTGGAACACTGACTCTGAAGCCAACCTGCCTTGGTTCAGACCCCTTTCCCTTCCCATACAAGCTGTATGACTTTAAGCAAATTACTCAACCTCCTGGACTTTGGTTTTCTCATCTATAAAATGAGAATAATATTGACATCAGCCTACAAGCTTGTAGTGAGAATTAAATAAGTTAATATATGTAAAATTAATATTAAATGAGATAATAAATGTAAACTAATATATGTAAAGAGTGTTCCTGCACATTATAAACATTCAATCAATGTTAGCTAGTGTTATTTCAGTAAAGCCAAAGACACTGAGAATTGTCTCAAGGTTTCCCTTCTGAGGAATGCCTTCCAGTTTCGGTGTCAATGCTAAGTTTCTTTTAAGATGCTAAACCAATCTTTAAACTTGGCACTGCTGTGCAAATTGGAAAAGTTAAGAATAAATACATTATAAACAAAGCTCTTTAATTTCAGACTTTCTCCATTCTGCAGTTATATAACATGACTTACTTGAGGAATCGGAATTTTGCGGAGAGACTGACTTCTCCAGGGGCTTGGGTTCTTTCTTCTCCGTTTTCTCTGTGGTTGAAGCCAGCTCCTCTTTCTTTCTTTCTCTTTGCTCATTCCATTCCTCATTTTCAATCTTGTTGATATGAGTCTTGTCAGATTCTTCCAGCATCAGGTCTTTTTTACCTCTGACGGCCCAGTGCATGGACTAAATTAATGTAAAGCAGAGATACAAAAATTAAGTTGATGTTATATGATTTTCTATATTTAAAGTTTGATATGTAGTAACACCTGACCTACTACTGTAGCGCTAACAACATGTTAGACTTGACTATTAACAAGTTACTCAAATTAATCCAAATAGTAATTAATCCAACTATTAATAGTTACTTTTCACCATACACCCTTCTGTACCTTTTTTATTTTCTGTTCTGTATATGTATTTCCTATTAGATCTAAAAATTGGACAGATGGATGAATGAATGGAGAGATGGATGTACGAATTAACAAATGAATACAGTGAAAAAGAGCGCTTTTGATTTGCTGTGTCAAGAATATTTCAAGTGGAATCATTAGCCCTACCATCAACCAAAATAATGTCTAACTATTTCTTAAAACCTCATCTGGATACTATGGGAAGCTATTCCTGAAGTACTAAGAAACAGTGACATACTGGTTCTATTACCAAAACTCAAGACTAGAGGGAAACATAGCCTTTTAACACCCTAAAATTATAAATATTCTAGCTCTCTGCCCTATTCAAATCAAAGAAGTCATTTATTCCCACCTTCAACCTATCTCTTCCCAACTACAAAGAAGTGTCATCCTGAATCCTCTTCTTCAAATATAACCAGTCCACAGGCTAATCAACCCCAAGATCCAAGAACCACCCCATAAAGCAGTCATTGCCACCAATAAATGTAATCAGCTCTCACCCTAACAAGAAAAAGAATAGAGGCTGGGCGCAGTGGTTCATGCTTGTAATCCCAGCACTTTGGGAAGCCAAGGTGGGTGGATCACTTGAGGCAACCCTGAGGCAAGGAGTTTGAGACCATCCTGGCCAACATGGTGAAACCCCCGTCTCTACTAAAAATACAAAAATTAGCTGGGTGTGGTGGCGCACACCTGTAATCCCAGCTACTCAGGAGGCTGAGGCGGGAGAATTGCTTGAACCCAGGAGGCGGAGGTTGCAGTGAGCCAAGATTGCACAATTGCACTCCAGCCTGGGCAACAGAGCAAGACTCGGTCTCAAAAAAAAAAAAAAAAAAAGAAAGAAAAAGAAAAAGAAATGGGAATGAAAGGTACCAAAATGTAACTGTAGTTATATATGTGTAACAGAATTACATCTTTTGTTTTTGTATCTCCCAAATTTTCTATGAGAAGATTATGTATATCTACAATTAGAAAACATTCTATTTTAGGCTGGGCGCAGTGGCTCACGCCTGTAATCCCAGCACTTTGGGAGTCCGAGGCAGGTGGATCACGAGGTCAGGAGTTCCAAACCAGCCTGGCAAACATGGTGAAATCCCATCTCTACTTAAAAAAACAAAAATTAGTTGGGCAAGGTAATATGTGCCTGTAATCCCAGCTACCCAGGAGACTGAGGCACGAGAATCACTTGAATCCAGGAGGCGGGAGTTGCAGTGAGTTGGTATTGCACCACTGCACTCCAGTCTGGATGACAGAACGAGACTCTGTCTCAAAAAAAAAAAAAAAGACAATATTCTATTTTTAAAATTAGATGAAGTTTCGATGCAAAAACATTTAAGGAGGGAGATTCCTGGTGCCAACAATATGTGTGGGAAGGGAATAGTTAGAGAGTAAACACTTCAAAACCATTTGCTAAATTGTAAATGCAAGTACTACCCATTTCTCTGTAGATTTTATTTCAAAATAAAAATGTTAATTTTTTAAAGAGGCAATGCCTCAGCTGGTATTAAAAAAATTGACTTTGTTGGTTTAGATTTGTTGTTTTGATTTGGTTTTTGCATATGCACAAAATAAAAACGGCTGCCAGTGACTTCCTCTGCAAAAGGATACTACGAAGGTTAGTGAAAAACAGGGAATAAGACGTTCAAGAATTCAGGGCCCAGAGAGCTGAAAATGTAAACTGTGAGCTTCACAAGCCAGCAAGGTGGCCTGTACATGATGTGTTGATCTCTGTGCCTCAGTACTTCTCTCTTGAAATCAAAGTACCTGTGGTCTGCCTTAGATAGAATTAATGTCTAATCCACAGTAAATGCTTTAAAGGTTTCAGTGAAAAGATGTTCTGAAATAGTCGTCTTATCCATCTCCTTTGTGAGTAAATCAGAATAAAATATGTTATCATCAGAATCCCACATCTGCTGATCCTCATTAAAGAAATATACAGAAGAAATATCCAAACTGTATCTAACCTCAGATACAAGTGCTTCTCATGCTTTGTAGTTCAATCAAAGGACTAACATCAGAGTGATGCTAAGCATCACTGTTTGCTGGGACACAGTTAGATAGTCTGCAAATCACTCATTTCTGTGTTCACAAGCATATATCTCAACTCCACAAGGGTATTAGTTGCACAGAACAACATTTAACATCAAGCGAACTAGTCTATTATGGAGCTACTCATTTCAATAGAATCAGCAGCAATAAAAGATATCAAATGACAGCAATTGATACCGACTAAGAGAGAGACTAGAAAGGGGAGAGTCTGTAGAGCAAGATAATAAAATGCACAAGACAGAAAATCTATATATGCATGGAAGGAACTAAAACTAAACAGACAGCAAACCTATGTGCAAAGGCCACTAATCTTAACAGTTTATGAAATTGCTATGTTGTTATTCTGCCTTCACAACTAACTTGTTTACCAGCTTTCTTAAATGAGTTGTTTTTTTCTCTAGGAAGTCATTTTCTTACATTCTAGACCTTCGTCAATACTAGGAAATAGAGCTCGCCTCAGTAGCACATATACCAAAATTGGAATGATACCAAGAAGATTATCATGGTCCCTGCGCAAAGATAACAGGCACATTCGTGAAGCATTCATTAAAACACACACACACACACAGGGAAATAAAAAATTTGGTTTACATTCCAGTAAACATTGGCACAAAATTTTTTTAAATCCATTGACTTAGACGAGCCATAGATCAGCTAAATAGCTATACAAAATTGACTGGTTATTATTATCCTGGATCAGCGATCACCACGAGTGAATTTTTTATTTGTCAGGGTGATTTCTGACCTGCTTTTGGATAACATCCAATTAAGACAGATTGCCTTTTGAACTAGCAGAAGGTGTTGAATTGCACACTGTTTCCCATCTGGCTGGTGAAACCGTGGCCATGTGGGCGTAGTAGGAAGCTTTCCTGATAGGTAGTCTGTGGCCAGTTGGACCCACCCCAGAGACACCTTGCCCAGCTGGGAACCAAGAAACAATCAGCAGACAAACAGGCCCACGTGGGGCTGACCCAACCAGCCCAGAGGCAATCAATTTGTCAAATGATCAGTTCACCAAAAATGTGTTTCCATTAACTCTTTATAAAATTTGTAGCAACTGAAGTGGCATGAGATAGTTTTAGCGGCTTATGAGAATTTTTCTCAGCCATTCATTTTGACTGTGCCTTTGCTGTGGCTTCTTTTTCCCATAGGCATCCTAAATCCATGCTGCCATATATTTTGGTGCTAGAGGGAGAGCCATCCACACCCTGGGTCTCTGTGGGTAAAACCATTTAGCATGACAAAGATACATTTCCTTAAGATTCTTTGGAATCCTGGGATAACTCTTCAGGTTATCACAGGATCCCAAAGACCTGGATTACTGAATCCTCACTCCAAACCCTTTTTTTCAGACCAATACTACATGTCTAAATTTAAACTACCAACATATTCATTGACCTGGGTGAGGTCTTAAAATATTTTTACAAATTAAACTATCAGGAGGAACTTCTAGAAAACGAAAAGAGAAATAAATAAGTGGGTAGTAAAGTGATAGACAGTGTGGGGAAAAAATACCAGTTCAGCTGCATCACTCCTGGATGATAGAAATCTGGTATATATACACCATGGAATATTACTCAGCCCTAGAAAAGAACAAAATTATATCTTTTGCAGCAACTTAGATGGAGCTGGAAGCCATTGTTCTACATGAAGTAACTTAGGAATGGAAAACCAAACATTGTATGTTCTCCGTTACAAATAGGAGCTAAGCTATGGGTACACAGAAGCATACAGAGTGGTATAATATACAGAAAGTAGGAGGCTGGGAGGGAGACTGAAGGATAAAAAACTACATATTGGGTACAACGTATACTACTCAGGTGATGGGTGCACTAAAATTTCAGACTTCACCACTATACAATTCATCCATGTGACTAAAAACCGTTTGTATTAGTCCGTTTCACACTGCTGTAAAGGACTACCTGAGACTGCGTAATTTATGAGGGAAAGAGGTTTAATTGACTCACAGTTCCTCAGGCTTAACAGGAAGCATGACTGGGAGGCCTCAGGAAACTTACAATCATGGTGGAAGGTGAAGGGGAAGAAAGGGTCTTCTTCACATGGTGGCGGGAAAGAGAGAGAAGGGAGAAGTGCCACACACTTTTTTTTTTTTTTTTTTTTTGAGACGGAGTCTTGCTCTGTCGCCCAGGCTGCAGTGCAGTGGTGCGGTCTCAGCTCACTGCAAGCTCTACCTCCTGGGTCCATGCCATTCTCCTGCCTCAGCCTCCTAAGTAGCTGGGAATACAAGCGCCCGCCACCACGCCCGGCTAATTTTTTGTATTTTTAGTAGAGACAGGGTTTCACCATGTTAGCCAGGATGGTCTCGATCTGACCTCGTGATCCACCTGCCTCGGCCTCCCGAAGTGCTGGGATTACAGGCGTGAGCCACCGTGCCCGGCCCCAGTGCCACATACTTTTAAACCATCAGATCTCATGAGAACTCACTATGATGAAAAAAGTAAGGGGGAAATCCACCCTCATGATCCAATCACCTCCCATCAGGACCCTCATCCAATTCAATATGAGATTTGGGCAGGACACAAATCCAAACCATAACACCACTTGTACCCCGAAAACTACTGAAAATTTTTTAAAGTTTTTAATTTAAAAAAATGTGGCACCCCTGAGGCTATGGCTCATTTGAGGAATTTTCCGAAAGGAAATTCCCAAGATATGATCCTGTGTGTGATGCTACAAAAGTATACTGTGATTTGGCCTGCCTTGTGGGTACAGGGACTAATAATGCTCCCAAACAATGCTTTTCCTTCCAGAGGGATTATACTGTTTAAATAAAAAGCAGAAACACAGGGTTGATGGTGTGAAGGAAAGGGAATTTATGAGATTTAACAATCTAGCCAGGCGTGGTGGCTCACACCTGTAATCTCAACACTTTGGGAGGCCGAGGTGGGCAGATCACGTGAAGTCGGGAGTTTGAGACCAGCCTAACCAACATGGAGAAACCCTGTCTCTACTAAAGATACAAAATTAGCCGGGCGTAGTGGCGTATGCCTGTAATCTCAGCTTCTCGTGAGGCTGAGGCAGGAGAATTGCTTGAACCTGGGAGGCAGAGGTTGCAGTGAGCCAAGATGGCGCCATTGCACTCCAGCCTGGGCAACAAGAGCAAAACTCCGTCTCAAAAAAAAAAAAAAAAAAGAAAAAAAAAATGTATAAATGTGCTGGGCATGCGTTTTAGATACATGTCACTGAAATTGAAATAATAAAGTTATAATCGTTTTATTGTCAGAATGGCATATATGATAGTCTACCCTTATCCTCAAGGGGTATTCCAAGACCCCATGTGGATGCCTGAACCTTGGGTAGTACCAAACTCTACATATACTATGCTTTTTCTGATATATACACACCTATGATAAAGTTTATAGTTCAACCCCAGTCCAAAACAAGGTGAGTATAGTACAATAAAATATTTTGAGAGAGTGTAAGAGCACATTTACATAACTTTTATTACATATGTTGGTATCATTGTTCTAGTTTATTATTAGTTATTGTTACTAATCTCTTACTGTGCCTAATTTATAATTGTGGCCATATGGGCATAGTTCTCATAAGCTGTTAAAACTATCTCATGCCACTTCAATTGCTACAAATTTTATAAAGAGTTAATGGAAACACATTTTTGGTGAACTGATCATTTGACAAATTGATTGCCTCTGGGACGGCTGGTTGGGTCAGCCCCACGTGGGCCTGTTTGTCTGCTGATTGTTTCTTGGTTCCCAGCTGGGCAAGGTGTCTTTGGGGTGGGTCCAATTGGCCACAGACTACCTATCAGGAAAGCTTCCTACTACGCCCGCATGGCCACAGCTATAAATTAGGCACAGTAAAAGATTAATAACAATAACTAATAATAAACCAGGATAATTATAACAATATATGTCATAAAAGTTATGTGAATGTGCTCTTACACTCTCAAAATATTTTATTGTACTATACTCACCTATTTTTGCACTGGGGTTGACTGCAGGTAACTAAAACCAAGGAAAGCAAAACTGGGAATAAAGGGGACACTACTGAATACCTGACACAAACACCCTAATGGTGACATTTATCTACAAAATGATAGACGTGATCTCTTAGGTGACGAACAATACTAGGTATGATCATTGTTATTAATGTCTCTAGAGTAGCAAATGCAAAATGATGAACAGATGAAATATGCAAAAAGACAAGGCGACAACTAAAATGTTATAGAAAGAAGTGAGGCTCTCACACGCAAAAGTTACTGTAAGGCATAGACAGAAAGGAGGCCGGGGGCGGTGGCTCACACCTGTAATCCCAGCATTTTGGGAGGCCGAGGCAGGCAGATCACGAGGTCAGGAGATGGAGACCATCCTGGTCAACATGGTGAAACCCTGTCTCTACTAAAAATACAAAAAAAATTAGCTGGGTGTGGTGTTGTGTGCCTGTAGTCCCAGCTACCCAGGAGTCTGAGGCAGGAGAATCGCTTGAATTCGGGAGGCGGAGGTTGCAGTGAGTCCATATTGCACCACTGCCTGGCGACAGAGTGAGACTCTGTCTCAAAAAAAAAAAAAAAAAAGAACAAAAAGGAATGAAAGGAAAGTTATAGAATGTCTATAAAATGAGGTATAGAACAGGTAATACTTGGTATATACGATTCAAAGTCCACTGTGGAAGAGAAATAGAAGGATATCAGAAACAATAAGGTTTAGCCCAAACAAAGAAGACTATATGAGAAAAAAAAATCAATGCTAATTTGAAGCAGAGAGATAGGCATCTCATCATTTTTGTACCACTAATAAAAATAAATTTAAAGCCAAATATAGCCCAGCATACTATTTCAACTTTGCTGACAAGAGAAATGATGCAGCCAGTAATATCTAAAATGTAATTATTGTAAAACCTCAAACAGTTCACAGTTAAGCTACATTCAAAGCAGAAATGATGTGTTTGGAGACAGGAAATTAGTATTTAATGGAAAGATGTTGGCAATATAAATCCAAGTGGGGATTTGGAGAAGAGTTTTTGAAAATACTAAAAATACAAAAAATTAGCCGGACTTGGGGTCGGGTGCCTGTAGTCCCAGTTACTCGGGAGGCTGAGGCAAGAGAATGGCGCAAACCCAGGAGGCGGAGCTTGCAGGGAGCCGAGATCGCGCCACTGCACTGCAGCCTGGGCGACAGAGCGAGACTCTGTCTCAATAAATAAATAAATAAATAGAATAGAATAGAATAGAATAGCAAGAGTCAGGAATCCAGTTGCAGTTACAGTGTGTGACACTTAGAAGACAGGGAAATATGGTTATGCAGAGTTGGTAGAACAATATTTAGCTAGTGTCAAAAAGGAATTTTGAATTTACACAACAAAAATGACAAAAATCTTATTTTTTGATACATAAAGTCACAATTTTTTGAAAGATTCCCTCTAGTAATTTTGTGCATTTATACAATAATCATATGGTTAGTCTCTCATAAATAATTAGCCCATCTTAAACAAATCCACATGAATGCACACTTCTTCCCAAAATGCAAAGAAGAAAACAGCTTACACTTTATGTAGAGTGGCTTTAATTATATAC